AAGCTTGCCATGCAAATTGTGGGTGGAGGAGCGTTTCATAGAGCAGAGAGCAACCCACATGTGCAAGAATCTTGGGGAAGGAGAGGAAGAAGTTCACCATGACTGCCAGCGCAGTGGCCTGAGATGCACTGGGGAGGGGGACTGGGCCTTGTAAACTACAAAATGAGACGAGGTCTTTAATTAGTATGAGGGCTGGAACAGAAAGAAAACACATACCAAAGACATTTGGGGGGAAAAATCAAATGGACCCGATAAATGATACGCAGGAGTTAAAAAAAAATGAATTAATGACCATACAGATGAAATACTGGGTAATTAGGAGAGAGATGATGCCAAAGACGAGAAGGGGAAATGAATTAAGTTCTGGGCTTAAAATTCTGAAACTGTAAAGTCAAAATCATCCTGGAGATCATTTAGTACCAAATCATATTCTCGTGAGGATATCAGAGAACCAGGAAAGTTAGTGACCAGCCACAGGTCACTTAGGCACTAGGATCTATGAGGTGAGAGATGGAAGTCATTATCTAAATCCAAATGTTCAGAAGGTATTCATTCAGACACATGAGGAGACTTTCAACTGACAAAGTAATTTAAAGAGAAATTCACAAATTACTTGCTGACCACCTAATGCTCTGCAGCATGTGTTTGTGGAAAGAGCAAGAGAGGAAGGTTGGCTATTAGTGTTCACTGGAAAGTAGAAGGCTGCAGGATACGTCACAGAGTAGATGATTACAACTTGGCCACATTTTATTTCTTATTAACTTAACTCAGCCTCTAAGGCATTAATGAAAGCATGCAAATGAAGAAGTTAATGTTAATACACTTGCTCTTAATCAAACAGCAAATGGCTTCTGCAATCCTTCTCACACCACCCTGAGCCCTAAACAGAAGAGATTATTTTACCTACACATCATGAAAGGCAAATGAAATCTCTCTCCTTTTTAAAAGAGAAGTTTTTAAAGCCATAAAAAGTAAAATGTCCCATCTTTCTAACAAAAGGAACCCCAATCTGATGAAGTGATTCTAAAACTAAAAGGCAAACACAGAAGATGACGTGAGCCATTTAAAAGGGTGCATCATGAATGCAGGATAATAACCACACTACTGGAGACAATGCTTCTCAGCAAATTTTCAATTATAAAACATTAGGGCTTTTCCGCAGTATCACTCGATTTTTCAAAACTACTAGAAAGAGCTATAGGTTCACAATCTGGCCCCACCTCTTGCTCTCTCTTCTTCAATAATTTTTTTCTTTTTCTGTAAATTATACTGTTTTTTGAAATGGAGAAAATAAAAGAAGTGGTACCTACTCCAAAGAAAATCTGAAATAGTAAGTCCTCTGAACCTCAGAAAAGAAAAACACTGCTATGCCAATTCAAGACTATTATCATTATACGAGAATTTACTAACATTAAAAAAAAAACTTGAATAAAAATAAATGATAATGCCAAAACAAAATGAGAAGGAAAAATTATAATAATGATAGCTGCTTCTTGTTGAGTGTTTATTAATATTATTTTATACACTCTGAATTTACTATCTTTATAAAGTGGGTGGTTTTATCCAGATTTTGCAAATAAAACTGAGGTTGAAAGGGTAAGTAACCAATCCAGAACAAGCAGTAACAGGGCTGAAATTTAAGCTTCAAAGCCCATGCTTTCTGCCTCTCTAAAACGTACTTCTTATCATTTTGAAATCCATGTGTATTTTTTGATTGCTTTGTTGCTAAAACGTTAGACCAAATGACTTTTAAGGTCTTATTCCAACTGTTAAAATTCCCTCATTTTATGAATTATGAGGACTGGTTAGACTAAAACAAAATAAGATAAAATATGGATTGATTCAAGACAGGATAATTCAGGAAGAAAATTTCATGACTCCTGAAAAAAAAAAAACCTCATTTATATTCTGATGAATAAGCCCACTGTGAGACTATAAATGAAAAACTCACCAAGTAATATTATCAATTATTCCTCCTAAATGAAAGGGAAACTAAATCTTATATTTTGATGGTCCTTGTGAGAACATAATGGTACGAATCCATTTTATAATGGCAAAAAAAAAGAAAATTAGAACAGAACTAAGCTGACATGAGAAAAACCATCTTTAGCACATGACAACAATGATGAAAGACGACGACCAGGTGATGAAAAAACATAGGTCCTGAAGCATATAATACAGCAGCATGATCACAGCCCTAGACCCCTACTCCAGCCTTACTGTATGAAACAATATCTTTTCCTGCTTAGTAAAATCAGTGACGTTATGGTTTTCCGGTACGTGCATGTGACATGTGACAGCATGCTAACTGACAAACTGCATTTCTGATGCTGAGTAATCAAGATGTTCTCAGTCAAGAAAAAAATCCTCTGGGAGTGTTTTTATCTAGTACCTAAGAGAAAACAAATATGGCAAGTCAAACATATCAGTAAAAATTTACCTGTACCTGTATGTTAATTTCTCCTTCTTCACATTCTTTCTTATATTTTCTTGGGAGAGTCTCTACCTCACGGATGGCATCTATAGTGACTTGCTGAGGTAGCACCTCAAACAAAGACGTTAAATACATAATTATGGATTTCTTGTCAGGAAGCTGAACAGCAACATCTAAAAGTGGAAGAAAATAAGAACCAGCCTAAATTAGATGTCCAAAATATGTGAACTGCTCAATATTAGATATAAAATAACTGTCTTTACTACCCGTAAACAATACCAGTATATCATCTTTATGATACCACAGCTCAGTAAATTTCTATTTCATATAATATATGAGACAAAGGTAAAGATGATTACCTACTTATTTTTGTTCAGTATCCCATTTCTTAAAAATCTTTCTGAGAAGCTTCCCCAAACGCTCAAAGATAAGCTATCATTTAAGATAATGTCATAGACTTTATTCTCATCATGAACATAAATCTAGAATTCAACCTTGCAATATTTGTAAGTAAAATTTTTAGATCGTATATACGAAGTTCATGCAAAAACACATTTTAATGAAATAAAGCAAATACTAGATTGTTTATCTAATAATTATATTTTCCTAAAACTTTAAATCCTATGCTGGCATTAACTATTCTCCAATGATGTAATTAGATTTCCTCCTAAAGATTCCTAGAAATCGTTAAATGCACAAGTACTAATAACTTGTCTGCAATAAAATGGCTTGCACCACACTTCAAAAGGAGAAACACTCTTCAGTTCTCATAATTCTTTTTAAAAAGCAGGAACAGCAACAAGAAAAAACCCCACAGCTTTTCAAGTATTCAAAATTGTAAAGCAAAATCATGGTTGAAATTAAACACTGAACAATACCTTCAGGATCTAACAGCTTTTCAATTCCCAAATAAGTCTGAGCCTTGCTGAAGGCATGTTCAAGTCTCTCAATTGGGGACATTTTGACAACTCTATCCCAGCTGAAGAGATCAGGTCTGAAATCAGCATGCAAATAAAATTCAGTACAGATAAAATACGTGGAAACAAAGTCATTATTGTTATAATCTAACACATTTCAGTTTTAGATCTTTTTATTTGTGAGTATGAAATTTTAAAGTTTACTTCTGATATCGCAAAGGATTGTCAAATATATAATATTTTAAAATAATCTATAAATATGAAAACAACAGGTGAACTATTCTAAGGTTTTGTAATGGTTATATATGCCTGTTAAAATTTCTGGGATAACCACTAAAAGACTAGAAATGGTGTTTTTCCCATGTAGTGAAAAAAAAAAGAAAGGGAGGAGGAACCTATCAATATAAGACAAGAAAGAAAAAAAGATACAGAAAAAGCAAGAAAAATGAGAAGCTCAAAATAAGTGGTAAAATGTGAACTTAAATACATCAATTATCACAATCAATGTTGATGGACCAAATTCTCCAACCAAAAGACCAAGATTAGCAGAATAGAAAATCTATCTCCAGTCTCTTCACAGGATGCTTCTATAGCAAAGGCCCTGAGAGAACTTCCCTCCACCCCTCTCCACATACCTATTGCATAGTATTTCATTTCAATCTTGATTTTCTTTTAATCCATGAAACTAAACATCACTGTTGTTCTGACTCACCCCAAAATTGACCATTTTCTTTGTGCTTTATCTGTTCCTGCATGTTGGACCCACCTACCTTCTGGGATTTGCCCGCTCACCTCCACCCCCAGTTCCCTCTCAGACTTCATCTCCCGTGACTCCCCTTACTCACATCACTAAACCCAGCAGCCTCCCACATGCCAGCATCTCCTCCCCTCTTGCCTGATGTATTTTTCTTCAGCATATTTACCACTTCTATATGCTACACAACTCACATTTTCTTTTTTTTTTTTAATTGTCTGCCTCCCTGTATTTGAACATATACTCCAAGAGGGAAGACTGAGATGTTTGCTTGTTTTGTTCTCTGCTCTACATCCTGTTCCTAGCACACAGCAGGCACTCCACATATACTTGTTAAGTCAATTAAGAAACAGTTGAAAAAGTGTGTTAGCTAAAATTCAAGTTTTCTGATAACATCTCTTAACCAACTGTTAAACAGAGGGCAACCTCCTTAAACTGATAAAAGAGAAGTAAAAGAAGATTGAGTGTGGGTGTTTCTTAAACCAAATAAAAAGCATATCAAAAAGCTACAGCAAATAACAGTCTCGTGGTAAAACATTAAAACCACTCCCTCTGCTATCAAGAACAAGACGTTCTGCTCACTATCACAAATTCAATTCAATATTGTATTAAAGGACAAGACGCAGATGAAGGGGAAAGAAAAGAGACGGGAAAGGAAGGCAGAAGAGGGGAGAAGAGAGGACGGGAAGGGAAGAGAGGAGAGGAGAGAAAACTATCACAATTCCTGGACAGTCCGCAGGGAAAAAAAAACAATACAGTAGCAAATTAAAAATTTGTAAGAATTTAACAAGTGTTCAAATATAAGATGTAGAAGAGTCAACTGCATTTTTATATATCAGCAAAGAACATATAGGAAATAAAACTTGAGACAATAAATAATTTACAAGAGTGATAAAACGCATAACACATTTTGCCTTTCACACTGAAATTGTTGCTGCATCTGGAATCTATCCTGGGTATGCTGAGACAAGGAACCGATTCACTCATTTCCATTTGTTCCAAATTATAGATTAATCTGAAATATGGGTTCAGTTGTGGAAGAGGACAGAGCTATTTCTGAGCTCTTTACTCTGTTAGGTTGAACTATATGAAACTGCCATTCTTATAGGTCAAAAACAGTCAAATACTGGCAATTTCATACACTTCAACCTATTATTATATTATTGTATTTATTTACAGTACTATAAAAGAGTCTCAGTTTATAGCTTCATATTAGTTTTGGTTTCTGTTTGGGAAATACTTCAGCCTGCTTCTTCTCCTTCAGGAGTATATTGGCTCTTTTTGGTCCTTTGGTCTTTTATTACATAATTAGAATCTGTTCACAACTTTCATGAACAAAGTCATTTGTCTACTTTTAATTGAGATCACATTGAATTTCTGAAGTTTTCCTTTTAGTATGAGGCTGAAAACTAACACAGTTCTTTGTGTACATTAGTTAGTGCTGAATGAGTGGGCTTAAACTATGTGAATTATTTTACATTTTTTAACTTATAAATATGTAGAAGAAACCATGGACATTGCACTGTGGCCTCTAAGTCCTATGAAAACAAAGACGGGATGGGCAGTTTTCTTCCACGCTGTGTCTTTTCTTTATGTTTTGGTAGAGCTTGTGCAGAGAAGAGCGGTGGTAGTGGGGAGGGGATTTAGGGAGGAGTAAGCACAGGAGGGACAGGGAGGAGGGACAAATGTGTACAAGTCTTCGCATCTAAGAAGAGTCACATCTCACTTATGTCGGTGGAGCACGGCGTTAAAGGCAAGACCATCCGTCCAGCTGGTGGTGAAGTTGAGGACGTTGACCTGGCTGTACGGCCTCGTGGACTGGCGCACCCAGCTCAGCAAGATCTTCTCACTGTTCGTCTGCTGCAGGTCTGACATGATATCCTTCATGACATCTTTCACCTGTTCAAAAGAAACCATGCCTGCCTATAACTTACAGTAGTTACTGGAATTAAGTCCTTGAAGAAGGAATATTGTATTCATCAACCATTATGGGTCAGGTCATTGGTACACAATTTATTTCAAAAGTTTCCTTTAAATACCAGAAAGGTACATATATTTTTAACAGTCATGATTTGGGGGGTACTAGAATTTGGAGGTGATTTTAACCTCACCTTTATACACTGTGGCGTTTTCTATATCTTAGCCAATACTTATATTACATTTGGTTACAGTAAACACTACTTTCATAGCCACAAAAAAAGTAATATTTTAAAACTCTACATTTCCTAATATCTTTTAGTAGGAAGAAAACTCAGTTTTTATTTTCTACAGAATTGAGAAAGAAGGGAAGAACTTTTGGCTGACTACAAAATCTAAGAATAAAGTGCATTTCCTGATGGTAATAACAATTACAAACTAGAACTAATATTTTATACTATTATTCTAAAGCAGTACATCTGTCTTAAGGAAGTGTTCAAAATGATGTGGACATATCAAGAAAAAAAAACACAAGAGCCAACTTAAGCGAGCTTGTAAAATAAAAATGATAGTGAAAGATCATAACCTATTAAGTGTTACACAGATATATAAATGAAGGATGGATAGAAAGATACATACATACAGACATACATACATACATAGATAAACCAGAGACAAGGGGAAGCTCATCCTTACAAGTGGAAAAACAATTAACAAATTTCAAAGAAATGATGAAATTAGAAAATCACTTTGCCAAGCATCATCATAATACTTGATCAGGTAGGAACTATGAATAGATCTGAAAATTAACAGACAAAAGTTAGATAAGTAGCTGAATATTTACACAGACTCAAAGTACAACCCCACAAGACACCTTTTAATAACAAAGGGCAGTCATATTACAGTGAAGACACCTGCAGATTGCTTCTTGCCCTAATGATGAGCCTTAACACTGCCAGGAAAAAACTAATGTGCAACACGTGCTTCCTGGTATATTAAGCAGAACTCAACATCACTTTTGTGGCATTCCTCCCAAAAATGAGTAACCTGAATCTAATCACGAGTAACTATCAGCCAAACCCACATGGAAGAACATTCTACAAAGTAACTGTTCAGTACTCTTCAAAAATGTCAACATCAAATGTCAACAAAGAAAGACTCAGAAATTATTCCAGATTAAAGATGACTAAAGAGACAAGATAAATGAATGTAATGCATGAGCTGGTATTTTCTTTCTCTTTAAGGATATTATTGGGGCAATTGACAAAAATCTCCATAAGATCAATAGATTAAATAATTGTATTATTTCAATATGTTCCTGATTTTAATAATTACATACCATTTGTTAGAGCATAATATAATAATTATATGCATAATTAATATCAGCATCATAAATATTAATATCATACACTTCACATGATGATAATATTATAGTTATGTAAGAGAACTCCCTGTTTTTAGAAAAATGATTTATTTTTACAAAATACACACTGAAGTATTTAGTCAAAGAGAAAGAGAAGGAAAGAGAATACAGAAATATAGACAGCTATTAACTTGCAGAACCTGAGTGAAACGTATCCAAGAAATTCTTTGAGCTATTTTTGCAACGTCTTAGTAAGTCTGAAATATTTTTAATTTAATATTTAAAAAACAGATACTTTTTTTTCTATGCCAGGAAAACAGAGCAGTTTGTCAGGCTTTTTCATTCTAAATTATTTCAAGTTGAATTGTGTCCCTTCCCCAAATTCATATGTTGAGGTCCTAACCCCCAGCATCTCATAATACGAATATATTTAGAAATAGGATCTTTAAAGAATTAGTTAAGGCAAAATGAGATCATATGGGTTGGCCCTAATCCAAAAAGACTGGTGTCTTAGAATAAGCAAAGGAGATTAGGACACGGACACACACACACACACACACACACACACACACACGGAGGGAAGGCCATGTGAGGACACAGGAAGAAGGCAGCCACCTACAAGCAAAGAAGAAACGAACCTTGCTGACACCTTGACCTCAGATTTCTAGCCTCCAAAACTGTGAGAAAATAAATTTGTTGTTGAAGCCACCCAGCCTGGTACTTTGTGGCAGCAGCTCTAAGAGATGAATACACAGACAATGCATTTGCAATTCCTATTAAGAAGTGATTGACAGTCCCCACCTGCCAGTGCAGAATGATGCTCCAGAGCAATCCCAAAGTCAGTTTGTGGTTTCCATCTACAATGTCCGTGCCTCCAATATTCACTAGATCCACCTATTAAAATGAAAAAAATAACTTTTAAGACAATTTTCCCACAGAAGCCCAGGTTTTTGTTTTAGGCCATTTGGAACAGCAACTTAAGTAAACAATAAGGAAAATTTCACCTTAGAGAATCAAGTAAATCTAAATCTCAAAAATGTATTACTTACACAAGAGATTGATAAAGTAATCGGAAAGAGCACAACGATTCCTTCATCACAGAAAAAGTTCAATACTTCTCATAAGAAAAGTGTTTCCAAAAAATCGGTTGATGCCAATGCCCAGAGCACGTGGCTGGTTTCATAATAAATCATCCTGATGGCATCAAAGAACCCCCAAAGTCACATGACAAACTTACATTGTTCTGATGTAAAACCTGCAGCACTCTGTTGACATTATTTAAAGCATGTACCCTGGTGGAACCACGTTCCTTCGGCTGGAAAACAAATCACAAAATCAAATGAGACAGAGTCCTTCCACGTTTGCCATCAAACACTGACATTGAGATGTACATGGAACAGCAACTCTGAAAGCAGAGCCCCTCTGTGCCAGGAGCTCTGGCTGGGTTCTCAGGCCACCCTGGAGGCTGGCGTCGACAGAATGCAAATTCCCCTACTAATATCTTAAGAGAGTAGTCCCTTCACTTGCCTGAACACTGGAATCTCCCAGAGAGCCTCCAAAAATACCAACCCCTGTGTCTGATCCCACCCCCAATCCCGTGATCTAATGAGTGCAGAGTGTAGTCTGGGTTTGGAACGCGTAAAAGATTTACTTGGTGGTTCTAATGTGCAAATTGCAAACAAGTTTGGGAACCAATGCTCCAGGGACAAAGCTTCTTTTATCTTAATTGCGCTGGACCCCAAAAATTTAGAAGTTGTGTCACCTCCATCCTGCACTAGAGAGATCAGAGGTGCTGTCCCAGGTTCCAGGTAGCGTTACAGGGCCCAATGCCACCCCAGGGAAGGGCGAATGGAAGGCTTCTTTCTGCCTCACTGGCCAGGGTATCTTATCTGAGACAGGGATTGGCCTCTCCAATAGGTGCCTACCCACTATCTGGGAGGCAAAAAGTAGAGAGTTACACCCCACTCTTCGGCAAGAAAGAAATTCATTTTCAAGAGTGCATCCCTCTATACTTTCTATAGTAATTCTACCTCTAGTGTTAAAGTTTATACCCACAAAATGCATCCTTTTCATTAGCAGAGTAATTTCTGTGTGCATATAAAGTCATAGAGCTGGATTTGATGAACAAAATAAAGATAATACTGAAAATCTGAGTAAAAATAAATGCCATCAGTTTTTAGTGACTTTTTTTTACTATTTGTAATACTAATACTATAGTATCACATGTATTTGTATATTTTCTACTGTTGAAAACATTGTGCCCTCTTCACATTTCCATTCTTCTTTGTGATTCTCTACAAACTGAGAGCAATAATCATATATAGTAATTGTTTTATAAAAATGAAGCCCTCTTAAAGCCTAATTATTGCTCTATATCAAAGAATTCATCAAAACCCTTTTTGTACTGTTACTATTTCAGCCTCTACGTTGTAAGTGCCCCCAGAGGGTCTTCAAGCATCAGTATCAGTAATGACAAGAGACACTCCATTAGCTTGGTTATCGGAGATGACACCTCTCACCAGTGAGGTTCCTGTGAGGCCTTCGAGAAGATCCAGTAGCTTCCTTCCGTCTTTGAGGTCTGTGAACATATCACTGATGGGTGGTTTTCCACCCTATAAAAGAAAAAATACAATTGGCAGCAGAAACTCCATACACAAGTGGCGAATAAATGAACGGTTTCATTTTTTTCCAGTTAAAAGTCTGGATGATCAGACTATTCAAGTTTGCCTTGTATGGAAAGAAGTACAAATACAGAGAACTTAAAAATCTGTAACAAATGTCTGGAGCTGAAAGATATAAACTTCATTATTTCTTAGAAAGGGAGCAAATAAAGCTGTGGTTAATGCCAACATGCCTTGACTACGGTGTATACAGTTGACCAGTGAACAACACAAGTGAACTGCGCAGGTTCACTGACAGCTGGATTCGTCTCAGTAGTAAATACTACACTACTGCGCGACTCGCAGTTGCTGGAACCCACAGATGTGGAACTGGGATAGGAGGGGGCCGACTATAAATTATTTGTGGATTTTTAACTCTGCGGGGTTGATGCCCCTAATTTCCTGTGTTGCTCAAGGGTCCACTGTATTCCTGAGATGGAAGCTGTGTTAAAAACATAAATGAGCATACAGCACCTGGGTGCAGAAACCAAAGAAAACTGTGTGGATTCTTATTCCACCTCGCACTTTACATTCGCAGTATAATGATGGTTTTCAGTATCTCCATCATGGTAGCAGGTCATCTCCATCAGTTCCAGCTCTCCAATTTCAGCTCTCAAGCGCTAGGTCTGTATTTCTAGCTACTAGTTTCTGAATGGTTAGGACACTTCTGGCTGTGTCTAAATCAGGTACCATTCCTGTATTTTGAATGACAAAACTTACAGAAGTTTCTACACTCTTGTCCCTGACTAATAAACAAGATCAACTTCCCCTGATAGACATGTTCTAGTATTTGATGCCAGAAAATCCTCCCCCATTAACAGGTAGTCCTTGACTGTCTGTGTATGATTTATGATTCCATGGTTGTACACAACAGGACCATTACTGCACAGAAAGTCAGGAAGCCTCAGTTTTAATCCCAGTTTGACCATTAACTAAACCAGTGAACCTAAATCAGCTACTTAACCTTCTTATAAATCACAGGTTATTGTAAAGATCAAATAACTAACATTAGGTGAAAATGTCCAGGAAGTTATAAAGCACAGTGTTATAAATGTTGTATTATTATGTTGAGTCAAATTGTTCCCTCCTAATATGAAATCTCCAGAGATTTAGATCCTATCAATAAGAAAAGTATCTTACAGTCAATAATTATTGTATCTTCTTTATTCTTCACTTTGAAAAAATATATACATAAAATCATATAAAGCAACATTTTACTCAGCCTGAAATTGATGAGGGAGAAGGAAGCCATTCTGAAGTTTCCTAAACTCTGCATTTTCCCTTATTTCCTCTCTTCTTCCTAATTTTTTAAAATTTTAATTCATTTACTTAGTTTGGGTTTTGTTTGTTTGTTTGGGGGGGGTAATTAGGTTTATTTATTTGTATTAATTTGTTTTTTAACAGAGGTGCTGGGAGTTGAACCCAGAACCTCATGCATGCTAAGCATGTACTCTACCACTGAGCTATACTCTCCCCTCTGTTTCTTATGTTTTTAATTATGTGTAATAAATAGTTAATTGATGGTTTCTATCATGTGGCTTTTCCATAGTTCGTATATTGTAAATGAGGGTAAGAATGGTAAAGTTTTCACCATAGTATCAGTAAAGAATAAACTATGACTTATTTGTATCTGAAACAAAACTGGGACACAGAGGTAACACGACAAGCAAGAGGCAGAACCAGGATGTGATACCACCAACTCTGACTCCAAATCCATGTTCTCAAAGACCGTGCTAAACTGCTCCTAAAACAATGAGGGCACAGGACCATGACATATAGGGAAGGAAATATTTAATCAGTGGTGGAGGGGGTACAATAGAGAGGAATCTTTAATGACTTCCTGAAGAGGGCAATATGCCACACTGAAATGAACCCAAAAGGAAAGTTATTCTTTTCCAAGCCCAAGGCTTTAAAGCATCTCTGGTGCTTTTGAATCACAGGCTCTAAATATGGATGGGATCCATCCTGGGAAACAATTTGGAAATGTCAGAAGTCATTGTTTAATAAAAATAAAAACTGATTCAGCTTGACAGTTAAACTCTTATTTAGATTTTTAATTCTTTGCTAAGTCTTGTTTGCAGAAACTTCTCTGACAGAGAGAATACAGTTTAATAGTTCAATTGGACAAACATTTGGTGAATACCTCCTTTGTGCCTGGCCCTGCAGAAATGCCAAGTTCAGGTCACCCTCCCCCATTTACAAGTGAAGGTTTCCATAGTTTTCCAATAAATACAAAATAGTACAAATGAACAATCTCGAATTTGGAAGACAGATAAGCCTTGGGTCCCATTTAAGCATAAAAAAACTCAAAAGGCAACCTGATAGGTGTCCAGATGACAGAGGTGACTCACTTCGGCTGCCTCCTTCCTCCCGTCCACTTTTCCCTGTACCATCTTTGAACTCTCTTAATGCCAATCCTAACACCATTTTGACAAGGGGGACCACCATTAATACCTACAGCTGAGACACTGAAGCTCCTGAATTTAAAAATGTCAGAGGACAGGGCAAACTGTCAGCACAACGCATGAGAGATAAGCCGCGGTCCATGAGAGGGCAGGGGCTGCAAACACACAGATGTGTGTGTGTGTGTGTGTCCGAACCCAAGGGCCCATCACACCCGGTGACACAGCCAGAGGCCAGTGCTCAGCTCCAGCCATCAGTGGCCATGTGGACATTCCAGTCCATTGTTGGTAGGACTTCTGGTTTCTCAAAAGGAGCTGGAAATGTGAGTTTATTTGTGTAATCTCCTGATATTTGTAATTTCCTAAAACATGGTGCCAGAGTTTGTCTACAGGCACACCGGATCCTCAGGCGACTGATTAGCAATCTGTCTCACAGGGCATAACATAGAGACGTGAAACATAAGATTAGTCAACAGTGAGTCCTCGGAGGGATTAAGGAACTCCGTGGAAATGGGACAGACAGACAGACAGACAGACACACACACACACACACACACACACACACACAGACTAGGGAACATGATTGATTGCAAAAGACCAGCAGAGTCATTATACTTGCTCAGACCAAAAAACAAAGGAGTCATACCAGAATCTTTTCCTTTCACTCAGTCCCCATCTCCAATCCCATAAACCCCTATGATTTCCACCTCCAAAAACACATTCCAGAGGTGACCACTTCTCCTTATCACTATTGCTCCTACTCTCGCCCATGCCCCCAGTCCCAGGCCAACTGACTTCTTTACTTCTGCGTAAGAATCAGAATAACTCTAAAGTGCAGGTCACACCTGTCTTGTCCCTGCTTTAACAGACTCCCATTATAGGCAAATGCAACCCAAACTGCAAATAAGAGAGCCTGTGTGAGCTGGTCTCCGCCCTCTCCCTAGTCTAATTCTGTATTATTCTTCCCCTTCTTCAATACACTTAAATCACAACTATTTCCATCATAAGTCAAGTTCTTCAGCAGCAGTAGGAACAGGAACAGAAAAAAAGCCTGTAAAAGACTGAATAAGAAAGTAAAATTTAGGACGTGCAGCCTGGAGTTCTTAAAAGGGTGAAATGCTAGTTCTTCGTCACTACAACAGAGGCAGAACTGGGGCTTGGACTCGGGGCTCAGAAGACTGCCTCCTCTCTGGGCTGTGCTACGCTGACACTGGCAAGTGGAGGGCGACGATCGCAGTCCGCGCCCCACGGCACTCAGAATCTACCCAGATGTCACCAAACCAGGACTAGCACGGCGTCGTGAGCCCATCAAGGGGATTTATGAACGAGCTTGATTCTGCCAAATTTGCACCAAGTGACAAATATAGTACAGCGACAGATTCTGTCCTATGATTTACCTAATCCCACTATAAACAATCAAGTTATAACTGTGTATAATAAGAAGAGTGAAAAGACAACAGTTTTTAAATGCTTTCACCACTAACATATCTGATGATGGTATCTTACAAATAATAAATTTGAGCCCTTTGACACTGTTGGATTGTTCTCTTATTTATTTATACCATATCTATTTTCAAAATAGGATTTGAGGCAGTCTGCTCAGTTCAGTTTCTATCTCCACTGTTTACAGCATGCGTGTGTGTGTGTGAGCATGTGTCTGTCTAATTGTGTGTGTGTCCTACATATGTATATATGGCATATACAGACATATACATACATATACCATAATATATTTGTATTCTTCTCAGATCAGTCTGGTGCCCCTGATCAATTTTTAAATGATGCTCCAACATCTAATAACTTATTGTAAGTTTTGTAGTCTCTCTTTTTTAAGTGATTTTTTTTCAAGGGGTTAGTTATTATAAAAACTCAGAAAGAAATAAGTGATTTACTATTTCTTTAAATATTTTAAAAAACAGAATCTTTAATTTATGAACCCTAAATCTTAGCACTGATAAAAATGTGGCTCTTGTAATTCTTCACTTTCTTAAAAATTAATAATGTATCAGTGAGCACTCTGTACAGTGTCATTTTGGTTAATTATAATATGTTTACATGTAAATAGATTCCTTTTAAGTATTTTACAACAAAAATGTACTTCTCTTGATGGTGGAATTAAAGGTGGATTAAAAAAAATCTCTTTGGGTTTCTTCTCTTATCTAATCTTCTGTAATGTGTATTATTGTATAAAATAAATACAGATTGTCTAAAAAGTGGTATCCTTAGTTAAAATTAAGCAAACTGATAAAATTAGGTTTATTACAATGATAAAGCTTACACAATTATACAGCCCCATGAGTGAAATGAAGAGGATGTGATCTTCAATGTCTACTTTATGATTCAACCCCATAGTGAAAGAGCCAAAGCAGAATTTCTTTTGACTGAGATGACAAAAAGCAAGACAAGTGCAATGAGATGCCTAAGGAGGTCATTAAACACCTTGACAAGGGAAAAGCATCAAAATGTTCTAAAATCACTTAAAGAATTAGTGAGTGCATGGCTCTCGGACATTCTCCTGAAGAATTCATGGTGGTCAGCCAAAGTTCTTAA